GGCAATAGTAATAAATATAAAATTTTATATAGATTTGCTGATATACTGACGCAGGCAACTGGAAGCCAGGTCTGATTATGGGCGAGACAACCAGCGCTGGGCTGGGCGAACAAAACTGGGTAGGCAGAGTAAACAACGTGTGTATGTACATATGTGTGTGTGTGTGTTACGACGACCTACCTGACAGACTGATAGTCTGCTTTGATTAAAATTAAAAATAACTTGCAATAATCATACAGCTTTTAGGTATTTAGAAATGTGTTTATATGTACCTTAGTACATATGTATATATGTATGTGTGCGTAACTCTATTTTTGTCGCAAATCGGCGCAGCTGATAAGTCTTATCTATTCTTGTTTTGTTAGTTTTCTATGTAGTCTATAGCGATTATGTCAAACTGAGGTGAAATCAAGAGCCGAGTAGAAATACTATAGTGTCGATAGTGATGAAAACACAACGAAATGAAATTAAAAATAACAACAAAATATTGCAAGACACACATTTATTTATTGAAAATAGGTTACCGGCAGTTTCTTTTTCGTTTTTTTTTTAAGGTTATGTTTTGATAAAAAATAACATATGCTGACTTTTAAGTAGACAAAACATGGGTAAGAAATACAAATTACTGGTATCAAATAAATGCTGTAATAACGGTAAACACAACCGCCGATCAGTATGATTGTGCAAACAACGAAGCGTAAAAGTGAGGTTAGCCATGGCAATGCAAGCGCTTTTTCTACGCATTTTGCCGTCACCGTGTAAATGGACAAAAAATAGTAACGGAAGGTTTGATTTTTTAAACAAAATAAAGGTGCGATATTAAAAATAACTGTGATTTGCTTTCAAATTAAAGAAAAAATTAATCAAACAGCTGTTTTATTTATCTGGCAAATTGCGAAATTAACCTCACTTTCCAGCACAAATTTTCCACTCTACGCGCTACAAATCTGCAAAAACACAAAAACCACATACCTAAATATTAACATAGAAATTGCAAGATAAAATTTTCAAAAGCACGTTTTTTCACTTCACACAGAAGAGGCACATACACAACATACATAAGTACATAGTACATACAAGCGAAGCACACACATACACAGACAAAAAAAATCTACATAAATAAATTAGCAAATGAATATTAAAGCGCACGCTTTACT